GGCTCAGGGAGCGGACGCGCGGCCTCCCGGGGTCTGGAGTCCAGGGGGCGGTGCCCTCCTCAGAGGAGCGGAGCGCGAAGGGGCTTCGCCCGGGGGCGGGGGCGTCCCACCTGGCCTTTGGGGGAGGGCGAGGAGAGTTATGCCGCGGAGTGAGTGTCCCTTTGGACGTAGACCTCAGCTTCGGCTGCGGCGCCGCGCCTTTGCCCGCCCCCGATTTTGGATGGAGTCAGGGTGGGCGGGTGAGCGCGGCGGCCGGGCTGGGCGCGCCTGCGCGGGCGTGAGCCGGTGGGTGTGTTCCCGGGTCCTCCCGAGCTGCGGGGTGCCGCGACGCCCTTGGTCAGGGGCGCCCTCGCCCTAGACACACCTGGCCCGGGACGCGGCGGCGGCGGCGGGGCCTCCTTGCCCCCGCCACGCTGCCTGCCCTGGGGGCTCCCTTTCCTTTCTTAGCCTCCTTCCGGGGTGAGGCTGGCTCCACTTCACAAACTCGCAAACTGAGTCCTCCGAACCTCGGCACCACCAACTAGAAGACGGGCTTCCTTACTCCTGTTGCATGGGGGGCGAATGTTGAGCACCACTTTACGGGGAAACAAGTGGACGTGGAGAAAGGCTGCGGGATTTAGTAGGTTCCTTCGACGCTGCTGCGCTTGGGCCCAAGCTCTCTGCTGGATGTCTTCACCTGTGGCAGGAGTTTGGGCCCCTGCTTGCCTGTGCTTCCAGCTATCTTCCATTTACCCTGGGCTAAGAAGAGAGGATCGTAGGCTCCTGAGCCTCTCGCCTTGCTGAAAGGTGTTTGAATTGAAGGGAATTGAGGACAGGAAGAACATTGAACCGGCTCCTGCATTCTGGAGGCGGTGGGTTTTGGCCAACTGGCAGCAGTTTTTGGGATACAGCTCCTACTGGGACCCTCAGCACCTAGGACGCTGACCTGCCTCTGCACTCCCGCCAGGCCTGCTGTGGTTTCTTGTTCACTGGCCCTTGGAAACCCCAGGTACAGATTTGATTTTTCTATGGTTGAGATGAGAGTACTTGTTACAGGGTTGGTATACAGCAAGCACTCAATACATATCTGCCATTGTTGGTAATATAATGCCAGCATATGGCCGAAGCAGCCTGCCCTTAAGAAAGCACAGTTCTTCTGCATGTTTTTAAATCCTCTCACCCAGTGTATTGCCCCATGTGTATGTTAGTTACTACATCTGTGAGATTGGAACAATATTAATAGGACTGTGTAAGGATGAAGCCTGTATTATGTGTGGGCTAACCTCTCAACCTTCTGTCTTCCTCAGATGTTTGCTGTAACAGCCTCTCCCACTGGGCTTGGGTGAGGACTAAATGGGCTAGTGCCTGGCATAGGGTCAGCACTTGATGAATGTTGATGTCTGTGTTAGCCATTAGCCACTCAGTTTAGGGTGACCATTACTGAGAATTGGGCATTGAAGGGGGCAGCTCCGCCAGCCACTCCCATTTCTGCCTTCGCGAAGGTACCCTCTCCTTCACTATGAAAGTTTTCCCCAAGTCCTTGTCCACAACTTGGGAGCTGGAAGGAAGGACTGCCTTTGTTTGCTTTTGAAAGGAGCAATGATTTTTGTCTTCTGGGTTGGGGCCATTTTTGCCCCTCCAAGGTTGGGGCCCTTTGAAAGGGGTAGTTGCAGAGCTAAGTGAGACCCTTTACCTTCCCCCGTTGCAGTGGAGAGACAAAGGAACCAGGGTGGGGGCGCGCATCCTCCTTACTGCCATAGGCATAACCCCATCCCTGCAGAAGCTGGGGGAGGGGACATGGAAGTTGCAGGGGGCAAAGGGAGGAGCAAGGGAGGTGGGTGTAGCACTGCTTCCCTTCCTCCTGCCACATGGGGCCTGTGGCCCAGAGGTGCCTGTCACCACCCCTCATGACTGCAGCCTGTGGACCTGCTTCTAGTAGAAATTTGAGCAAGTTCTCCTTTCGGGAGTTCCTTTGTCCAAGACCGGCTCCCACCGCTGCAGATTCCTTCTGGTTTCTTCTGAGACAGTTCTGGTCAAGTCCTGATGCTCCTCCTAGGTCCTATGCTGGGGCTTGTGTTCCCCCCACCCCCAGCCCTGAATAGGTGCAGGGCCTCAGCCCGATCACATTCTATGGAGTGAGGATCTTTAAAATTATGAGTTCCGGGTGGTTTCCCATGGGCCAGGACTGAAGTACACAATTGCTCATTTTGTGTTTTGTGTGCAGATCACCCTTCCTTTGCAAAGAGACCAGGCGACTTGTCTCCCCTCTGACGGCAGCTGATGCTCTTGCTGGTTTCCTTTCACAGATGGTGGCACTGAGGCTCTGGACATCCAGGCACTACCCCCCCTTGGTGGTGAGCGTTTTTCAAAGCACTTACACCTCTGCCACCATCACAGGACAGGGTCTTCCCTGCAAAGGGGAAGAAGCCCATTGCACATGCTCGGGAGGGTCTGGCAGTGCTGGAGAAGGTGACAGGCAAGCCATACCGGGCTGCTGAGATATACCTGTCAGGAGACATTCCCAGTCGCAGTGGGCACAAATATATGCTTGACCAGCATGGTTGAGGGCCAGAGGGAATTCAGGGGTACCGCAGTCTGGTCATTTACACAGTTTTTTTTTTTTAGTTGGAGTCTCACATAATAGAGACAAGGTTTCGCCGTGTTGCCCAGGCTGGTCTCAAATCTGTGGGATCAGGCAATACTCTTCGCCTTTGCCTCCCAAAGTGATGGCATTACAGGCGTGAAGCACTGTGCCCTGTCTTGATACAGATTTTATTTTATTTTATTTTGAGTCAGAGTCTCACTCTGATGCCCATGCTGGAGTGCAGTACCATGCTCATGGCCACTGCAGCCTCGACTTACCGGGTTCAGGTGAATCTTTGGCATCAGCCTTCCAAGTAGGTGGAACTACAGGTGTGTGCCATCACTCCTGGCTAATTTTTGATTTACTGTAGAGATGAGGTCTTGCCAAGTTGCCCAGGCTGGTTTTGAACCTGTGGGCTCAGGCAATCCTGTCACCTTGGCCTCCCAAAGTGATGGGATTATAGGCATGAGCCACCGTGCCTAGCTGATACAGATTTTATTTTTTTGTTTTTTTTTTGTTTTTTGAGTTGGAGTCTCACTCTGTCGCCCAGACTGGAGTGCAGTGGCTGCTCCCAGCCACCGCAGCCTCGACCTGCCGTGCTCCGGCGATCCTTCCGCCTCAACCTTCCAAGTAGCCGGAACTACAGGCACGCGCTACCACGCCCGGCTGATTTTTTGATTTATTGTAGAGATGAGGTCTCGCCTGCCCAGGCGGGTCTCGAACCCGCAGGCTCAGGCAGTCCACTCACCTCAGCCTCCCAAAGGCGTGGGATTACAGGCTGAGCCACCGCGCCCAGCTTTATTTTATTTTTCAGTTGGAGTCTGACTCCCACGCTGGAGAGCAGTGGCACTCTCATGGCCACTGCAGCCTCAACCTGCTGGGCTCAGGCTATCGTTCCACCTTAACCGTCTAAGTAGCTGGAACTGATTACAGGCTGAGCCACCGAACCTCGCCTGATACAGATTTTAAACGACACAGACTGAGGTTTACATAAATGCTAAGTGTCGGTAGGAAATGCTAGAATTATGGCAAGTAGTTATTGATGACGTGTCCTGTGAGAAACACACCTGGTTAGTATTCCTGAGAATTTGGGGAATAAGGGAAAAATAAGAAGGACCTGTTTTGTGTGGGTAATTGGAATATTGAAGATATTCAATTGTATAAAAAGATATTTTGGGTAAAAGTCAAGTTTCAATGTTCAGAGGCCAGGAAGAAGCTAGCCTCTAATCTTGCCTGTCATCTTACCATGTCAAGGTAATTGTTTTGCTATTTAGGGGCTTCTCAGTTCCTTCTTTTTCTAAATTTTGTTTTTTAAACGTATTTTTTATTTTAAAATTGTGGGGTACAGTTAAGGATTAGGTATACAAATATGCATCGTGCAGGTACCCTTGTTGATGTGTGCCCCCCCATCCCCACACGGATATTGACTATCATTAATCCCACCTTCCTTCCCCTTCCTGCCCCCCCATAGTTTCCCGCCACTGTCAATCCTTTTCTTATAGTATTACGATAGTTGTTAAAGGTCCACTTATGAGTGAGAACATGTGACTCAGTTTCTTCTAATGGAGAAAAATGTAGAAGGGATCAGGAGAGCCCTTCCTAAGCCAAGGGGCCTGACTTGTGGAGCAGAAGTGTGGTGAGGAAGTTGGTTCAGTGGGTAGAGTTCTTCTGAGAGGGTACTGCCACCACGGTGCCTCTGTTGGGACTGGCTTTCCTTGGGCAGGACAGTGCTGAGGGGCAGCAGGAAGAGACTATGGAATTGACAACATGTGTCCTGTACCAGCCTATGTGGCCAAGTGGCCTAAGTCACTCTTCTTCACTCATTGTTTTCATCATTCAGTGTGGTCACGATCTGCCCTCACTCAGTCCCCTGCACATCTTTTCTCTCTGATTTTTTTCAATTTTGCCATAGATGATACATGTTTTTCTTCTTTTCTTCCTTTTGAGTTGGAGTCTCACTCTGTCGCCCAGACTGGAGCGCAGTGGCCGCTCCCGGCCACCGCAGCCTCGACCCGCTGGGCTCCAGCGATCCTTCCGCCTCAGCCTTCCGAGTAGCTGGAATTACAGGCATGCGCTACCACTCCCGGCTGATTTTCTTGATTTATTGTAGAGATGAGGTCTCGCTGCCCAGGCGGGTCTCGAACTCACCAATACTTATTTTTGAGTTGAGGGTCTCAGGCAATCCACTCACCAATACTTATTTTTGAGTTGAGGGTCTCACTGTTGCCTAGGCTGGGGTATAGTGGTGCAATCTTGGATCACTGCAGCCTTGAC